TGACCTCCTAGCAGTCCAGGGGACTCTCAAGAGTCTTCTCCAGCACCACAGTTCAAAGGCAAGAAATTAATAGGCCAAATTAATAAAAGATATGTAACTTTCATCATACTTTCCTGATTTGCTTGTTTTTATTAGCACTTTGTCATCTAACTTTTTTCTTGCTATCCAACAAAACCTTTTCCATTTCCAAAGACAAGACATTTAAAAGAATAGGTAAAAATACTGAACTTTGCTAATACATATGCAGGCAGTCCCCTACTTGCGAACTTTCTCCAATACGAACAAGATGGACCCAGAAGTCAGGCCAGAAGTCAGGAGAAGTTGGGCAAGGGTTAGTTTGCAGTGGGTCACTAACTAACCCTTTTCCTCTTCCCGCCTTCCATTTGCACTGGAGGTTTGCATTGGAGTTGGAATTCCCAGAAAGTGTTAGTTTACACGGCGTGTTCCATTGCTGGGTGAGGCAGGAGAGGGGGCAGTGGCAGAGGACAGGGGAGAGGGGGCAGAGGTCTCCTGCCTCGCGCAGCAATGGAGCTCACTGCATCCCACTGGCTTGTCCCTTAGTCCAGGGAGCCACTACCATCTCTCCTGCCTCACTCACCTGGCGTCACATTGGCAGCTGCCCTGACTCCTGCTTCCTCCTCTTTTTTTTTACTTTTTACTTGGTTGGACTTACGAACAAAATGGACTTACGAACAGCCTCTTGGAACGTAACCTGTTTGTAAGTAGGGGACTTTCTGTATTTTTACAGACACTCTAAAGATTATGAATACTAGTATGTGCCATAGTGGAAGCCACCAATCAGAGGGAAACTATTAGCTGGTGATAGTGCTACTGTGATTGGCAGATGGTTTTGATAGACGCATGGACCTGCTTCTCAAAATTCTAAGCATTTTCCCCCTTTCTCTACACCACCCTGATCCTTTAAAAAGCCCATAATTTTTTTTTGCAACCTCCTGTAAAATTGCTCCCAGTTCTCCTAGTTTAACTCCCCAGTTTGTTCATCAGGGGAAAGCAGGTTTTGAAATGTATGGATCCTAGTCGTGAGGAAAGCTAAAGATAAGAGGCAATATTTTGAATTAGACATTGAAGTAATACCTTCACATGTACTTTCATACACTTCAGATTGAGCAGAGAATGGGGATATCTTCAAATCCCTACTGTTCCTGACCTCCACACTTTCCACTGGGAAACATTTAGTTTTCTGACTTATACAACCAGCTTGTTGCTTCCTAAGGTTATTTTTTAAACTTTCCTTCAGCTACAGCCAGTAAAACAGCAGGTATCTGATATCCCTGATGCTATTGACTGCATCTAATAGGATGAGATAGGAAGCAGGGAAGAGGGACACAGAGTTATAAAACAACATGTTGAGATTGTGAAGAAAATGTAACATTTTTGTCCCACTAGTTCTGTATTGGGATAATTTCTTCTTTTGGAGGCACAAATGCAGAAGTGTACCATATACTCTTAACAAGTGCTGCTAATGCTGTTGACCGAGATTGCAGGTAACAATCCCTGTATTTATCTATTGAGCTTTGGTAGGTTAGCACTGGAAATGCAAAAGTGGGCTGGCACTCAGAGCTTTATTTTGGAGGTATTGCCCAACTGTTGTATTTTTATAGCTGTTGCAAGAACGCCAAGTTCATAATACTAAATGTGCGCACTCACATGCATTATAAGATGCTTCTCTCAAACCTAGAGCCAAAAAGAACTGTATCTTTTATTGCTGTTGTTCATAGGCTGTTGAAATGAATCCAACTGCTGTTGCTTGCTTCCTGCTGGGTTTCGTGTGACAACTACACTTCAAAAAGAATAATTTTCTCTGCTTCCATGTTTTCTTATGGGAGGTTTTTGTTTTTTTTTTAAACCTTTTCAGTGTTTTATTTTAAATCATTTTGAAGGCAATATTTCTAGAGGTTGGGTGCAGACACATTCAACATGCGCTATCATCACTCTTATTGTTTTAGTTCTAGAGTAAAAAACCTCAAGAGAATAGTGGTTTATTTTAAGTCCTCATTGTTCTCTTTTGCAGAACATTTGAAATAATTTGAATGTTTTTTTCCCATTAGAATGCATGATACTCAGGAAGTTCCAATGGAAGCTTGTTTTCTAAGTTCAAAACAAAACGTTTTTCTTTTCCATGAAAATGTCTAAATTTAAATGGGGTGAAATGAATTGATGAACCAGTACATGTTTAACAATTGATTAGAAATAGTCTGATTTGTTTTTACTTCTTACTGACATATAAATAGGTAATAAAACTTTGGAAATATGTGCACTTTTTAATTTGCTTTTTTTAAAAAAAAGTTAAAAATAAAGGCATGGAAACACACCACTGCAGTAGGGCTATCTTGCTTTTGTCATAACCACAATATTTGTTGAAATAATTAAATATCTGGCTGTTTTTTCTTCACTACTTACCTTTCTTTTCTAAGTACAGGTAGTCCTTGTCTTACGACCACAATTGGGACCGGAATTTCAGTCGCTAAGCAATGCGGTCATAAAGCAAGATGTCACATGACCACATCACTTAGTGACCACAATCCCGGTAATCCTCATTGCCGTCATTAAGCAAATCCCACAGGTCATTATCTGAGGACGCACCCCAATCCAAGTCATTCCAGGCTTGGTCCCTCCTAGCCCTGAGCCTCAATAAGGTAAGGGACTGCCTCCAACTCCCCCCACCTGCCTATCTCCCCCCCCATCTCTGCCCTTTTGGCCGCCCTGCACCCTGCCTTGAGGGGTGACAAGCAGCCCCAGAACTGCATGACTTGGGCTGCTTGCTATGCCCCAGGAAGCCTCAGTCACTCCAGCCCAGTTCCAGTCACTCTCGTCACCCTGCACTCCAAGACTCCTGCTGCCCTACGCTCTGCTGACCTAGCTGACCTTCGCTGCCATCTTCTTGTTCCTGCTGCTGACGAGGCATGCCCGGCCTGGCTTCTGGGCCATATGGGGCTGGCTTTGCATTGCGAAAAAGGGGAAAAAATCTGAAAGGAGCCTTATTTCCCCTTTTTTCGCAGTGCAAAGCCAGCCCATGTGGCCCAGGAGCACAGTGCATTTTTTTTCTTTTTTGCAGGGTGGCAGGGAGCCAAAAGGGCATTGATTGGGGGTAGATATGTGGGTGGAGGGAGTGCAGGTCCCCTGCAGTCGTAAGTGCAGGTGCACTGCCAAGCGCCCAAATATTGATCACATGACTGTAGGGGTGCTGTAACGGCTGCAACTTTGGCCACAGGTCATAAGTCCCTTTGTTCAAAGCTGTCGTAACTTTGAACAATCACAAACAAATGGTCATAAGTTGAGGACTACCTGTATGTTTTTGCATTGTAACAAAAATAAAAGGTATTCTGAAGATTGTTTCCCCTTTTGTGCATAAAGTAATTTAAAATGCTTTTTAGATTAAAAACTATAAATTAGATTGTTACAGCTTTTCTTTATGGCAGGTATTGGATGGCAAAGAAGAAATCGAAAAACAACATAGAGAGAACATTAAGCAGCTAAATAGCGTTGTTGAATGCCAAGTGAAGGACCTTACACAACTTCAGGTGGACCTTGAAGATCTTGAAGAAAGAAACAGAAGTTTGCAGGCAGCTCTTGATAATGCATACAAGTAAGTGTATTATCAGAATAAGGAATTGGGGCCAGGGATGCTTAATAAAAATCACTTTCCCTTTATAGCACTTTAGTATTGCATTGTGCAATATATCTACTATTTCATTTTAAAATATCAAAAAAATATGGTAGGAGTTGGGGCAGACTGCTCTCAGAAAGGGAGATGCTCTCAGCATGTTGTATTGATTGTGACCTTACCAACCTTCAGAAAGACCTTGAAAGGCTGCCCCCCCACCAACACTTGGCCAGGATGGTACATGTGCCCATTTTAAGCAGTAGGTTTTAGTTGCCTGCAGTGGGATATATGTTTATGGATTTTTGTCATGTTTTGATGTTTTACCCCTCTGTTAGCTATGATGGCAAGAGGATAGCCATATAAATTGAAATAATAACAGATAATAAAATAATGAAATACAGCTTTATATCAGGTTATAAGCTTCTACATGCTTGGCACATGTTTTCCTTATTTCTCTTTCCTGTAACTCCTTTTGGTTGTTTTTATTATTGCTCTTGATTGCCGTTTTATATTTTGTATTTTACGTTTATATAATCTGCTTGTTTTATGTTATTTGTTTTTTTTCCCTGGTTTATTGTTTATTTTTCTATTGTATGGTGTCCAAGAGTCACATTGTTTGAGTTGGATGACCTTATAAATCTATCTTTCTAAAATAAAATAAACCTGTCCCAGATATTGCTTATAATTCTAGACCACATTTGGAGGTCTCAGAGATGCAAATATTCAGATACAATCCATGGGAACATTTTTTTTTCCAGAGAACTTGCAGATCTTCACAAAGCTAATGCTGCAAAAGACTGTGAAGCACAAGAAGCAGCATTAAGTCATGAAATGAAAGTTAAGGAGGAACTGGGTTTAATTCTGGAAAAGGCCCAGGAGGAGGCTCATCAACAACAAGAAGCTTTAGCAATTCAGGTAAGTGTTGAATTATAAGTTGATTTACAATTGCAGGTGGTGTTATTATAATGCTGTATTTTACAGTGCTTAAATTTAACATCAGAAGAATACATCTTGAAATATCTTCTGTTAGATAGCTAGTTAGATGTCATCAAGCCATGCTTAAGTCTTGGTTATACACAGACAAATGCTCACCAGCAATAACCTGCAGTTCTTCCCAAAACAGTCCAGTATTCACTTTAATACTGTATTAATACTTTAATACAGTATTCAATTTAATACATTCTCCTTATCCTTATTTTCTCTTCTTCAACGCTACTTCTGTTAACTTTGCCAAGCATAATAATTTTTTCTACTCCATCATCTGTTCCCATTGTATGCCCAAAGTTTGTAAATTTCTGCTTATTCATCATTTCCTCAAGGAAACAGTCATCCTTGTTTTGATTCAGGAGTGATTGATCAATCCTTCTTACAGTCCACGGTATTTTAGTAGCCATTTCCAATCTGTACTTTGAAGATATTTTCTTTTACTTGCTCTTTCTCTGGGTCCAGCTTTTGCAATTACACTACTGTATCATTGCTTTTACTATTCTAATCTTGTCATTGAAATGTCCTTATCTTTAATGGTCTTGTTCAAGTTTTTCTAAACATAGTTAGTTATAATTGTGAATAAATGAATCATTAAGACACCTATGTGGGAAACCACTGAGCTGCTGAAACCTTTAGAGTAAAATATGAGAGAGGGGATTTATGTATTCCTAATGGACCACTAGCTTTGAATATTTAAAGTTACATTTGTCTGTTAACTACAGCATTGTTCCTGTACCTCATATTGTTTGCTAGTGATCCATACTGTGGCTAAAAATATTAATTTGTTAAGCAGAATAATTGTTCCAAACATGATTTCATAAGTCCAGCAACCTGACTTGTTATATGACATTAATAGGCTAAAACGTGCATCTTTAGTGTGTATAGTCCATTGTATCTTTATTTCTGTTTTACAGGTGGCAGACCTGAGAATTGCACTACAACGTGCAGAACAACAAGCAGCTAGAAAGGAGGATTATTTACGCCAGGAAATTAGTGATCTTCAGCAAGTAATGTAGCAGTTTCTTTTGAACTGACAGTGTCTTTACCTCTTTCATAATGTTATAAAGCTACATTGACAGTGCTGATCTTTCAATGAGCAAAAATAGAAACAGAAGAGGGAAAGGGAGCAAGATAATGGATTCTTTGTTAATACTAGAAGGATGTATTTGTTTCATTCTACATGAAATGGGTATTCAAAATATTTTAAAACTTTTTAGAAACATTTCAAACTTAAAACAACTGTTCCAGCTTTATTGGAAGTGTTCTTAGCCTGGAATAACCTTATTTGGAGCTCAAACCACTTTCAATAAGATCAGAACAATCCGGACAAGATTAGCATGACCAGTTTCCCAATTAAAACAGTTGTTTCAAGCTCAGAGCAGGAGGTTCCAGTTCAAAATGATGTGCACACCTCTATTAGGTACTTGAACTGAGCTTAGCATTAGTGTATGAACTATTAATTAACGTATTGTTTGGTAGCAGAATTTATCCTTCTTAGCAATGCTAATTGTGCTAGAAAGAACAGTGCACTGCATGTAATGCTGATTAGCATTCTTTGGGTTGTGTTTCCTTTAAAGAATTTGACAGTATATAATGGATCTGACAAAACTTCATGTTAGTCATGATTTTCTTGAGCTTAAGTGATGTTTACCCAACTTACAATTTCAGAGACTTCAAGAAGGTGAGACTCGCAACCAAGAACTCAGTCAAAGTGTTACATCCGCTACTAGACCTTTGCTCCGGCAGATAGAAAACTTGCAAGCTACCCTGGGAGCACAGACCTTGTCATGGGAAAAACTGGAGAAAAATCTTTCTGAAAGGCTTGGTAAGGCAAAGAAATTGTCCGTTTCTCAGACGGAATATGTCAGAAACCTCTATGCAAACAAAGCACTTTGGTTGATTATGAATATGCACATATTCCTGGAAGAATTAAGTAAATATGGATCTGAATCTGGAATTTCTATTGGGAGCATGTGTCTAATTAGACTGGCTGGGATATCATGAACCCTAATTCATGACCAGAAAACACATTGTATAGAGCTACATAAAATTGGCTCTATGGCTGCAGTCATGTTAATAGAATTAAATGAACCCCATGTCTCAATTTTGCCTTAAATCTCACTTGGCAATGTCAATCTGTTTTCCCAATATTAAAAAGTAGTTTGGCTTTGTTTGGAAGCTAGTGCTGTAACCTCCCAGAGCCACTTCCTCATGAGATGGCTGGTGTCTAAATTCTAAATATAAATAAATAAAATTTGAATCTGCTGCCAGTCTAGCGCAGAAACAGTTCTCTCATACCCCATCCTACCTGGTATGCCACCCTCCAGGCACTGATGGCTTTTTTTCCATTTTTCATCTCTATATAATGGATTCTCATTACAGCCTACTAAGTGGAAAAGAGAGTGGCAGTATTTCGAGGGACTAAAAATTTTTTCTTGTCATTCCCATGTTTGTAGGAAGCATCACAGACCAGATGGGGAAAGTCCCCTCCTCTGGAAGTAGGTAGGAGGATTGCAAACGTGGAACCAGAGGAGGAGAATGGGTTTTGTCCTTCAATCCCCAATAGTTCTTAGTAGCAGAAAGGCTCTGATTTGTCATTTGTTTAAAAACAAATCAGGAAAATAAGAAAATAATTGTTCAGTGGAGAGTGAATGGAGATAGGGCAGTTTTATGGCAGATACTCTTTCATACTTTTTTTTTCACAAGGTCGTTACATTCCCCACTCCCACTCTGGGAAAGCAATTGTACAAACATGGAGACTACACTCTAAAATGTCATTTCCTTTTTCATGTGTGTGCAGCACATCCAAAGGCCAAGCTAAATGACAGGTTGAATGCCTAAGTTTAATGTATCTTGTTTTTCCTCTTAAAATTGATAAACATATGGGGAGGTAGCTATTGAGTATAGAAGGCAAATGCAGGAAAAGATGAAGGAAAAGTCAATCTTTGTCATCTTATTCTTATATCCTGAAGATACTCCTCTGCAAATCTGCTATTGTCCTGCTGGCAGATTCTCTCTCAGGAAAATAGCACTTTTGGGGTTGGGGAGAAGATATTAGAATTGACACAGAAGAAAAGAATTAAGCCCTCCTGTCTGTGCAGTGTAAGCCCATTGGATTGACTAGTTTGACTGTAGAACTGCTTGGGCTTCCTTAACAACATTTTTCATCAGAAGTTGCGTTCTTTCTCTAGTTAAAATCCCTAATTGTAAACTCAATAATTCGTACTACAACATATTTATATTCTTGCTATTAGGAGAATCTCAAGCTGCCTTGGCAGCACAGACTGAAAGAGAACGTGCTGCTACAGAAGAACTTCTTTCCAACAAAATCCAACTTTCTTCCATTGAATCACAAAATAGTCTCCTGAGGCAAGAAAACAGTCGCCTTCAAGCTCAACTTGAAGCAGAAAAATCCAGGCTTAAGAAACTAGAAAATGAAAACAATCGGTAAAATTTTATAATCTATCAATTTCTGTAAAAGAATGCATGCATATGGTTCACATAATCAAGCTGGGGTGTAATGGACTATCTTACTTTAAAAGCTATGATTTAAAAAAATATATTTTGAAAGCAATTGCCATAATACTAAGTAATATGATATATTATGATCTTAACCACTGATACATATGTGCGTAGATGCTGTTATCAGAATGTGCACCTGTCAGTAGAGCACACTCAGTAGCAAATCCATCTGTACAGCTGATAAACATAGATGGTTGGTAATATCACATAGCCAAGCCAAGCCACCGTGGATCTTAAAGATCTGTTTTATATTGGTGCAAACTTTAAGCATAATTATTCGGTAAACAGTTGAACTTTAATACCAGTTCAGGATATGCATAATACCTTTCCTCTGTAACTTCCTTTTCACACAGATATGAAGTTGAGCTAGAAAATCTTAAAGAAGAATATGTAAAAGTTGTTGAAGGGGCAAAGAAAGAAAAGGTTTGTTTAACCAACAGTTCTTTGGTATAATGTTGCTTCATCAGGAAAAAAAATCAATAAATAAAGGTATATATTTTGCTTTCTTCAGATGTTGTTATCTACTCAGTTAGAAATGGAAAAAATGAAAGTTGAACAAGAAAAAAAGAAAGCAATATTTGTCCAAGAATCTGCAAGAGAAAAGGTATTTGATCTTGTCCGTCCAATAATTCTGGATGTGAAAAGCATAACAGATGTTGGGGGGTGGGAGATATCCTGGATTTTACTACTTTAGTTTTTGTTTATGTCTTGAAAATCCCACTGTCAAGTTCAGCCCAAGAATCACAACAAGATAGTCCAGAAATCAGTTCAGCTTCTTTATTAGCTTGCACCCAATAGACAGAATCTCGCCAGACTAACTCCAATCCCCCAATGACAGCAACTATAACCATTATGCCCTTAGGGAGGGGCCAGTCTCTTTCTCTTGACC